TCCATAAATACTTTCCACCGATATCATGTTCCACGTGCATGTACACTTCCATCGTTGTTTCCTTGATTGGGACATCACCGAATGTGTTTTATGAATTGAATTTTAGTTGACCTGACCAACACGACGGATGCTACTAGTAGAACAGGCACTATTTACCGAACAGGAGCACATTGGTGTATCTAGAGTATTTTGTTTGATTTATGTTTCTAAATCTTAAGGTTTTTCGTTTTATGTTTTGTGGAGTGTTGTTTTGTTGTCTCTTCGTCATTTTCTTTTGTTCATAACTTGCTGGTGTGTATTTCTTACGGACTATTGGGTTTTGATTGCCATTTGGTAGTTTTTCAAATAGTTCCAAGAAATGTCTTATCTTTTTTTTTACAAATATTTGGTGATTAGCGGTGTCCACAGTTTTTGAGTTTGTGTAATCTTATATAAATGAGGCGTATGTCATGCCTGATTCTTCGGATAGATTGAAACGGACCAGTCCATAAAAAATTCCGAATTGTGTAGCTTAACATTTTCTTATTTGTTTTTAATGTTCTTGAAATTACAGGTGTCTCGGAAGACTTTCAAAATTCGAGTATAAATACAGTTTATGGATAGAATATTCCGGACTTGTTTCCAAACTAACAGTAAAGAGTATGGATCGGATGAATGGAATTTATAGTGTCAAATAGAAAATTATTTTTGTCTAAACTATGTAACCCGTCCCTTCGTCATGTTTACGATTAAACACCAGATGCTTTTTATGTCTCACAACCGATGTTGCTTGAAAAAAAGTAAAATAACAAAAATACCGAATTCCAAGGAAAATTCAAATCGGAAAGTCCCTTATCAAATGGCAAAATCAAAATCTCGAACACATCAATCGAATGGAAACAACTGTCATATTCCTGATTTGGTACAGGCATTTCCTTATGTAGAAAATGGTGGATTAAACCAGGTTTTATAGCTAGCTAAACCTCTCACTTGTATGTCTGTCGCATAAGATTCCATTATATTGACAACATATCTTAACAGATAAATTCTTGCAGTATTAGTGTGGGGTGTTTTTTGCAAACATGCCCATATTTTTGGTTACATGTTGTTCTGAAGCACGGTAAACTAACCAGTTGAATTAAATTTGAGTTTGAGGATCTTCATTTTCAAAATGGTTATAGATCTATCATCATCGTAAGCTGTTCTTGATATTGGATCCACTCGTCGTTTATTTCAAAGTTTATATCCATGTTTTCAGACTTTAACGGGTTTAGTTCTAGGGATTGTAAGCTTCCGAATCGATTTAGTTATATCTTTGCAATTACTTCTTTTCTTCTGTTGTTGATAAGTATATAAGTTCTTTTAAAACCAGAATTTGTATTTTCGTAACAGTAACCCTCAACTTGTCTCAACAAATGAAACTGTTATTGCATATTATGTTCAAACATTCGTCAGAAATGATTTTACATATTTGAATCGACAAATTGTTTCAGTCGGCTATTACTAAATATATTTTTTCTGTCATTTGAATAATTTTTTTTTGCGTAGGAAATTACAGTTTGTAATCGGAAAACAACAGATTGAAATAGGAAAATAACAGATTATAATCAAGAAATGACAAAATTGTCAGCATAAAGCAACAGATTGTCATTAAAAGTTGATCTTCCATAAACTTACTGCTCAAACACTGGTGGCGTTTTATAATGTTTGAGTAGCAGCTGAATACCGAATGAGTTGGGGAAATGTATATCCCATATGCAGGTGAAGTTGGTATATTGCTGCTAAAGTGGGGGAAATTTAAAATTTCAAAATTAAAATCGTCTCGTTTGTCATAGATTCTGGTACTGAGATGACCGTTTATGTCAAATTCGAGGAATAAGTCTAAAAATTAGACGGGGGAAGCCGTGTCTGTTGTTTCTTTAATTTTAAGTTCTGGAGGATATATTTAATGAAACCCAATCAGAAAAGTTTGGATTGTTAATGGAAAGAACATCATCAATATATCTGAATGTGAAATTAAATGAATTGGCTTCTTTGATCTTCTTGTTTTTGACTAGTGTCCGATTAAGGTACTCCGACTCATATGAAAATAAGAAGATTTCGTTCCCATAGGAATGCCGACAATTTGTTGAAAAAGTTTACCTTCAAATTCAACAAATATGTTGTCAATAAGAAACCACAGTTTACTGATCACTTGTTCCTCCGTGTAGCATGGTTTACCTTTTTGTTCACTATCAACAACGTATGCCGTATGGTATCCCAAAGCAATAAATTTATAGAGTATTCTTCCATTTTGATATTAAAAAGCATAGTGGGTTATTTCTTATAGACAATTTTTTTCTATTTCACATTGCGATGAACATTGTAGCGAGCCTTATTTAAGCAACAAGTACTAGTCGCGGCACTGTAGTAAATGCACTGAATTTCGTTGCTTGTATTCCAATGAGTTAAATAGTGGCGCTAATCTGCGTTTTAATGCTGTCTTTGTAGAGTGCAAACATATCAAAGCCAAACAAAAGAGAAAGGGAAAATATCTACACTATGAAAATATAAGATCGACAACAAAATCTGGAAAGTTTGGCAAACAAAAATGGTTTTCTTAGCACTTTCTACGAAAAACAAGAGAATTTCAACGACAAAATCCTCTGCATGGGGGAACTAAAACAAACTTGAAGGAAACCCCATTTAACCACGCCGAATACCATGAAAATAAAGCGAAGGCTTTATATGAGATAAGAAATGTTTCGTTGGGATATATGCATGTAATTGAAAAAGAGCAGACGTGCAATGTGAAAGAATTCTTTGTAAGGATTCATGATATATTGGATTTATATAAGAATTCATTGCATTGACTCCAATCTGCAAGTTTCCCTTTGAAGAACATTGTTTGATCTCAGATTGGCATATTGTATATATGAAAAATGAATATGTTACTTTATTATTTTAGAATCTATTGAAAACTACAAATCATACGGCGCAAAAATATGTTTGGTCAATTGCATCCTAATCACACTAGTATCCTGATTTCGTTAGCGTTAAACCATGCTCTGAATCACAATGTAGTATCGTTATTAGTTTGTAAATTTCCAGATAAATAAAAAGATTAGCGAGCGTCAATTAAAAGCAATTCTATTTTACAATTTTGTCCTAATGTTCTGAGGTTGTCCTTCTTTCTTCTTTTTATAATGGATGAATTGAAACATAGGGCGAAAAAATTAAATATTCCGTGTCAGTTATTTTCTTTCCTTGGCATTCGTATTCGGTTTTAAACTTGTCATTCACATACACATGAATCGTGGTGTCCGTGATCGGTTTAAGTTTCAATTTGAATGAGTTTGCATAATGAATCTCTTCAACGTTGTCATCCTCAATCCTAGTCTCCTCACCCCATGATTTGTTGGGTATTAACGTATTCAAGACAATTTGCGATGATTTACCCCTTGGGTTGAAATGGAAAATGATGCCATCCGTTTCGTCTCTGCTTTGTTGAAAATTTATTGCGTACCCACTAGAATAAACAAAAATGATTTTATAACAGTCTTGTAAGTTTATATGTATAAATATGCCCAGTGGTGGATTCGGGGAGGGAGGGATGTAGAGGAAGTACGCCCTCTTTGATTCGAAAGTATATTTTTTTCCCGGTGTACTTAGTAATTTCCGTTTTCTAGAATTACAGCCCTTTTCAAAATTCTTTGATCCGCCACTGATACGTCTTTTAATCATAAAAATTCAACATATAGAAGTTAACTCCATGTAAAGAATTATATGTTGATTGTTAATAGGAAGATACTATTAAATACTAAATATAACGTAGACTACGCCATTTGTTTATTTTAAAACGTTAAAATCTTTTAGCGTCATGACAAAAAGTTTTCAATATAACAAATTTCAATGCAAACGTCTTTGGTTAATCAACACAAACTTTCGGTCAGTGGAAGTAAAATCCTGGAACTCATAATTGGTGTCCAAAGCATAGGTTGAAATCCAAACATACATATATCGACATACCATAAAAAATTATATCTGTTTAGTAGCAAGTGTCTGTAACGAACCAGAACAAGACAAATCGGTATTGATATAAATTGTATAAAATCATGCATACATAAAAATAGCCACAATAATGAAAGTTTGCATATTCTAACTAAAAATAGTAATCATCAGATTTTCATTGTCTGATATAGTCCGATTTCCATGAAAAAATTATTGTAACTATGTTTCTTGAGTAGTTCGATCTACACTACGACAATTTAAATTGTCAATTGTAAACCATTCCACACATTAATTGCAGAAGGGGAAAAAATCTTGTATAATTAGTATTTTTATTAGAGACAGATTGTAAATTGTAGTGTTACGGTAAGTGGTATGTATTACAGAATTGAGAGTTATAAGACAATTCAAAGGGTTCTCTTAAAAAGTCAATGTACAGAATGAAGTGTATATCGTGTAGAGATAGTCAGTTCGTGATGGTAACTGTAGAACTTCTGATTTCATTCCTTCTTTAAATGCTGTTGGAATCCATTTTGAGTTAAGAGTACACATATACATCAAATTCATAAAAAAGAAAGCGACAGGTAACATGCCTTATATTTCAGAAACGGTGGCGTTAGAATCCACACTATTTTTCGAAGTCTAGGTTTTTGCTAACATGAATATTTACTCTATTTGTACATAAAATCATTCCATTTAGGAATTTTCAAATGAATATATTCTGTTACTTTCTTATGTAGTCAAAAGGAAAATAAGGTCAAAATTATACGTCGTATAACTGAAATATTTATAGAATTTTGATGCGTTAAATTTTTAAGCTATAATATTTTGAATAGACCTTTGAATCTCTCTATCCGTACAGACCGTCAATAAATTATGAAAGTATATCAGAGTCCTAAAATTTGAAGAATTTATTTGACAAAAAAATATGATTCCAATAGTATAAACGCTGACGATATTATATTTCTAATTTGATATAATCATTTTAAGCGATTTTCCGTTTTTTTGGCACACTGAATATTTGTTATACTTGCCCAATTTCCTTAGCTTGGCTTGCTTTATTACACTTAACCTCTAAGGAAAATTCCTCTCCTACCATCATTCTTTTATTCCACGAGGAAAGCGTCACCTGTAAACAAGTTCTTAAAATATTTAACAATACAGTTCTTTTTGAATTATTGTCTTCGATCATCTTTAAACACGATAGTCAATGAATGGAATAGATAGGTCAAAAACTTCAACATGTTTACTGTTCTCATTATGTTGTGATCTTAAATACATATTTATATATGCATTTTATTTCAACATTATTAAGTTATCTTCTTTTTTCAAATCCCTCCAAGAACTATTCAAACTAATATTTTTTATAAGACCTTTTATATTAAGAAATCATTATATAGCTTCATATTTGCACCTTTTATAAAAAAAAATCAATATGTTTACGTCATGAAGCAAATTTTTAACGTGCTAGTTCACAAGGTTATATAGTCCGCCGGTTTACATGTCACTAGACCCAGACTCTGATGTCAAGTCATTCAGGTATAGCTGTTACTCCTAAATATCACGGACTTGGGAGAAAATCAGCAAATACCAATTTAAAGCCTTTTGTTTGACCCAAAGAAGGGATGAAACCAATGTTCTCCCGCACTCGACTCGAACTTCAACCAAGTGACTACCGAGGCGGTGCCGACCTATTGCGAATAACATGTCACTAAACCCAGACTCTGATGTCAAGTCATTCAGGTATGGCTGTTACTCCTAGATATCACGGACTTGGGAGAAAATCAGCAAATACTGATTTAAAGCCTTTTGTTTGACCCAAAGAAGGAATGAAACCGCACTCGACTAGAACTTTAACCAAGTGACTACCGAGGCGGTGCCGACCTATTGCGAATAACATTAATCAATGATCAATGAAATTAAATCGTAAATTTTTTGGCTCTTTAAAAACTTACATGTTTGTTGGAAATAATTATGCTCTTATTTTGAACATCTTCGTCAACACGTTGCGTTAATCATAATATTTATACATAATTGCATCTCTCGACCGTCAGTTTGATCAATCAACATTTCACGCTTGACTTTCTTTCAATTAGTTATACGAACAGGGCCATTAAAGGCAAAATGCCTCGACTTATCCGAGTTCGATATAATGAGGTTCGACTGCACTTACAGTCTTCTTGTTGAGTACAATACATTTCAGCAAAATAGTACTTATGACTCACAATTTCACATTTGAACAACCGTGGTAATTTTTTGCATTATGAAGAATACACTTATTTTGGGGCAGAATATCCGAGTCTTTTTGGGCCATCACAGGTCTTATAAACTAACCATTTACGTCTTATTTTGTATTTGTTTTTGTCTGTCCTGCGAAGACGGTGACGGCGTTAACTATTTGTATTAATCCTAATATTTCAGAAAGTAAAAAAAAAGCAAAAACTGAATGCTTCATATCTTGTTTAGAAATCACATCGCCATCATCCTTGACCTCATTTTAATGGTTCAGTGAGTGCTTGAATAGAACTTCATGGTTTTTCAGTCAATTAAAATTTCTAGCTTATCATGAGTAATATGATAACTTTTGTGGTATATGCATGGGATCCTTACAAATTCTACATATCCGCCACAAAGGGTTACCTGACCCTGGCCTGATTTCTTGGATCAGTGATCAAGGTTAAACTGTTAAGTGTTAAGTATTATGAATAACGATTTAACTATACTTGGCGTATGGAATGATTGTCCGTATGGCAGTGTTCATCTGATATTGACCCCATTTACATGGATCATTGATAATTTTTATGTGATACTTTTAGAAATACCTTTATCGTAAAGATTTTCAACAGTTTCCATCATTATCAGTAGATCAGGCGGGACATTTCAGCATGTGCACCTTTGTTAAACATTTGTGAAAGACATACATTCAGAAATACTTACGAAAGTTTTTGCCATTTTGCCTTTTTTTCTGCAAGAATTAAACAGAATTTTTCAAAATATATTTAAATTCCAATCAGGCTTAGGGGACATGTGAAGATCAGAATATTTGTTAATTATATATATGAAGGATTGCATTTCTTTGGATAACACACTTTGTTGTTTCCGACCTTGCGTATAAAAAATCGACAAATATTCCTTAACCACGTCATAGACGGCATGATCTTTAAATGACAAAAACCTGTTTAAAATTTATGAAGCTTTATAGTTTTATATTTTCTAACAACAGCGAACCAGGATGAATGGAGGTAATAACAACTCTGATTTATGACTCTCATATACTGTTAATGTGGAAATTTTCTTGGACTGATTATTTTTTCTTATTTTGCTATAATGTAAAAAGTAAAATAACAAATATACCGAACACCAATGGATATTCAAAACGGAAAGTCCTTTATAAAATGGCAAAATCAAAAACTCAAACACATCTAACGAATGGAAAGCAACTGTCATATTCCTGACTTGGTACAGGCATTTCCTTATGTAGAAAATGGTGGATTAAACCTGGTTTTATAGCTAGCTAAACCTCCGATTTGTATGACTGTTGTATATTCGTTCGTTATGTTGAAAAAATTGGGCAAGCAATCCGAAAATACATGATGGGTTAATGTGCCAATAATTGGTATCCAGCAGCCAAAACTGTGTAAACATACACCAAAGACACACAACACAACTGATTTTAAAAATTCAAAGAAACATACAAATTAATCTAACAAAGAAGCCAACAAAAAGGTGTTGTGGGTGATAGTAAATTGACAAAGATGCAGATAAAACAGTTTTAAAATAAAACATATATCATGAATAAGAACTTACCTCAGGTTTGATTATCGATTGAAGGTTTTTTTTTCAGATGAAAAATAGTTTATGTGACTTAGAATTTATATATTTGCTTGCTTCCTGGTTACACATGAAAGCTTTTCAATAGCTGAGCTCCATGCAGATGCAGCGATTATTTCATTCGTTGACACCGTAAGTAAGGAAACAAATTTAGGACTCTTATCATATGCTTTTTTTCCCAATAATATTTAAGTCTTTTTGCTAATTTCATTTGTTAATTTTAAAAGCTGCAACCTTCCTTGATGACACATTTATCGCAAATGTAAAATCACGAAAAAATATTACGTAAGTCCTTTAGGTGCGAATGAATGATATGTCAATATATCTAAGAAAAAATTGGGTTTTATTTAATTTCATTAAAATTGATATAAGGAACAAATCACCTCAAAATTAACCACTCTTTATATCACTAAGATTAAATCCTATTTCAGACCTTACTTCAAACACTCATAATATAGTTACTATTTTGTTCAAATTGTACTTTGTTTCAAACGAAAGGTCCAATATTGTCCATTTCCAGGTATATTTATGTAGTTTAATATTTTAAAGAAAGTTGTACTAGGTTATTGTATAGGATAAACAATTATCTAAAGACTGATGTACAGGAGATATGAATAATGAAATTAAAAAGAAAATATTGCCAGCAGAAGTATCCATGGTCTAATGCAATCAAGTCTATGAAATTTAATAATTTTAATTTCTTGGATTTTGCTGAGCACTCGATGTTTGATATCAAAAGAACAAACCCATTGCTAATGTGTATATGGAGTATCTTTACATTGATGGTTTGGTCGTTTTATCGTGTATTTTTATGAATTTAAGGAAATTAATGTTGCTTATTGCAAAAGTTTGAAGATATGTAGTTCTTAGAAACATTTGTGCAATTAACTCAGTTATTTGTTTGTTACTATGATTTGTCTTTTTCTAAATCGATTTACGAGATTTGAACATCTGTAAATCACTATCGCCTTAATCTATAAGCAGTGCTGGAGGGGGGGCCTTATATTTGAAATTAAAATTGAGAATGGAAATTGGGAATGTGTCTAAATGACAACAACCCGACCAAAGAGCATAAAAACAGCCGAAGGCCACCAATGGGTCTTCAACACAGCGAGAAAATCCCGCACCCAGAAGCGGGCTTCAGCTGGCCCCTAAACAAAATGTGTATTAGTTCAGTGAAAATTGACACCACACTAAACTCCAAAACATATAAATGAACTAAAATTAAAAAAACATACAAAACTAACAAAAGCCAGAGGCCAGAAATTGGCTATATAGAGTAAAAATTTCAATTTACGAATTGAAAGCACAGAATTTGTGATTTTTAGGAACTCAAAATTGAAAGGTTCTGTAAGTTGGCAGAAATGTTCTGCATTATCCTTAAAAATCTGCAAAATCGTACAATAAATTTTATTTCAAATTTTTAAAGAAAACCTGTTAATTTTGATCAAATGGAAAAATGCTTTTGTTTTGTTGTTATTTCCAACCACTGAGTCGATGCTGGTGGAGGTTTCCTCCCCAAGGGTATCATCAACCCAGTAGTCAGCACTTCTGTGTTGACATGAATTATCATTCATATTGTTATATTCCTAAATTTACAGTTTTCAAAACTTTGAATTTTCGAAATACTAAGGATTTCCTACCGCTGGAATAGATTAATTGATTACCTTAGTTGTATATGGCCAAAGCTTTCGAATTTTTGTTCCTCATTGCTCTCCAACTGCGTACTTTATTTTACCTTTTATTTTTTTTTATTCGAGTGCACTGATAAGTCTTTGAAGGCAAAACGTGCGTCTGACGGTCAAAATTTTAAAAGCCTGGTATATATAATGAGTTTATTTGGAACTAGTTCATTTTTTTGAATTAAGAACTGTATAAGCGTTATACTAAATATTCGTAAAAGGCGTTAACAGGAGTCCTACTTGGGCCTAGCGTTACATACTACTTAAAATACCAATTCATCATTTGTTTTAAATTTTAGTAAAAATTGACGTAAGAAGTTCCTTTTGCCTGTACCAAGTCAAGAATATGACAGTTGTTTTCCATTCGTTTGATGTGTTTGAGCTTTTGATTTTGCCATTTGATAATGAAATTCCCGTTTTTTCCTTGGAGTTTGGTATTTTTGTAATTTTACATTTGAAACAATAGGTCAGAAGTTTAAGAATACAGAAAATAAACAATGTGTTTACCTTCAAGTTGGCAAATGAAGTAAATGGCACAACCCTAAATGTTATTGCATTTTGGCTTGTATTTACCAACATAGTTGGATTCTAACGTGATCTAAGATGAGTTTATGTTGTTTACCAAAATGACAAACGATATAAATTGTGTTATTGAAACCCCAAAATTATTTGATGGGCTTAGATTGGAACATCACAACGACATTCCTTTGAATAAAAAAAATCTGCAACAAAAGGCTTTATAACCTTAAAGAGTATCTTTACTTTTCTTAAATTCAAGATTTAAATTATAATTATCAAACTATTTAGTGACAAGTCCACACGATGCAATCGGTTCATGCATACAGGAATTTTAAGATTCCCAAATGAAGGAAAATATTGCATGAATTCCAAGGAAGAATGATTGCTTGAGTAACCATTACAGTTCTGAGAAATATATAATAAGAGATCGGTCTAACAGTGTTGTTTTCATATAAACTTCCTTGCGATTGAAATTAGTATCAGAAGGCTAATATTCCTTCGTCCTTTTCTACTAAAAACAAGTGTCATGTTCCAATTTCTTAGGTGTAATGTCTCATAAAATATAATCAACCCGAAACCGTAGATAGGATGAGGCAGTAAACATGTCTTCAATAAATTTGTTGTGTCTTTCATAAAAAATTAAAATATCTAAACTAAACAAACAATTTTATTGGAGACTTTATAGTGTTTTACCATAATTTATCAAATATATGCAAATATCTCTAGTTATTAATTGATCAACATTGTAGCTTAATACTAAGTAGTTGTTCGTTTACTAAATCAAGAATTTATAACACTTTATATATACTATTATTTACCTTAAATCTTTTAATTGCTGAAAATTAAAAAAGATATCTTTCAAAAATCGCTTTTTTGACTATCTTTTTCTTATGAAATATGCAGTCTACATTAAGCAGACTATTTCATTGATTATTTTACGTGTATTTCTAAACAAGGATTTCATTGTTCCGATTTCAAATAAAAAGATGGCTATTATAAATCTGCCAGATAAAAAAGGAAGCAAAAGACATTAAAGAGACAAAAAAATCATACAAAACAAAATAAACAATACCATGGCAAAAAATTGAATAAAAAAAATCCAAACCAACAAAAGTCCGCAAAACACTGCATAGAAACTACAGACTGAGAAAGTACAAATTCGTTGATATCACAATGGAGGAAAGAAATGGGATTGTGGCTATGACAATTGGAACATATCCGTGGCACAGATATTTCATAAGGGTCAACCAAATCATGATGACGCCCATAAAACTTTCGATGGGACGAATTCGACTTTACCATTAGGAACCGTTGGTTCAATAACTTCTTCATAAGCAGGAACCCTCTTTCAAGAAATATATGATAGGAAACGAAAGTCCATCCTTTTTGACTCGATTGTGCATTACCTAAAGCGATTTATCATCGGATTTTTATTTGCTTGGGCAACACGACGAGTGTCACATTTTGAACAGTATCTGTTTACTCTTCCGGAGCATCCAAGTTCACCCCGGTTTTTGATGGAATTTGTGATGCTTAGTCTAGTTTTCTATGTAATTAGTTGTTATTGTTGCCCTTTCGTCGTTCTTTTTTTATGCAATAGTATTTAGGAGATAACTGTATTGTATTTTAAGCTCCGACGGCATCAATTGGTGATTTGATGGTCGCAAATTAAGTTTACTGGTGACGCGTAAGCGGAGCTAGTAAACGGGTATTTACGACCATCAAATCACCAATTGATGCCGTCGGAGCTTTAAATACACTATTTTTATCTCCATTCTAAAGAAACTGACAGAAAACAACGTCAAAACATACATTTGAAATCTGTCATACGTCGTCTGCGCTTGCGCGTACGTTTTCATGGCATCAATTGTGAATTGATGCCATGAAAATTGGTGACATTATCCAAACAAAATGAAAGTTACAAACGATCGATGTTGCATTAGAATGTGTTTTATTATGTTATGATTTTCGAATGACCCCTTGGTATCTGTTCTTTCTTTTTTTCTAGAATAATATTTTAACTGGGATATAATATAAACTTTATAAGCAAGCGCTGTTGAAATATTGCTACAAATATATGGAAAGTTCACAATAGGAAAACTGAAAACAATTATTGTCGTTACGTTTAGTTCTTAAACGATTCTGATTGTCACTTTCTAGATGTAAGTAAAATATTATATAGGCTTAAGTGTATCTATGTTATACTGTATTTCGATGAAATGTATGCGTTCAAAGGTCGCTGAACTTATTTACTATGAGGATATCATCTATATAGCGGAATGATACGATAAGGATAGAGCTAATCTCTTTTCGTTCTTCTGGAGAAGCTCGTGTATGAAGTCTGCCTCTCAGACAGATTGTATATGCATGATCGGACCAATATGGTATCACAAGGATATAAAGTCAAATTAACAGATGCGCGTCTGGCGTATTAAGTTTTAAGCCTGGTATGTTTGACAACTTGTTTTATATAAGATATTTAGAATTGCAATAGAATTCAAGCAATCAAATCTGTGCCTTTGTCGTGCCTACAAGTTTGAACCTGCAAACCATTAACTCATATTGAAACCTTGTATGAAATAGGAATTTAAAATTCTTGTCATAGTCAAGAATTGAAAGTAAAATAAACTCATCATAGAAATTTAGTATTTGCGCCAGACGCGCGTTTCGTCTACAAAAGACTCATCAGTGACGTTCGAATAAAAAAATGTTAAAAGGCCAAATAAAGTTCAAAGATGAAGAGCATTGAGAACCAAAAATTCCTAAACGTTTTGCCAAATACATCTAAGGTTTTCTATTTCTGAGGTAGTAAGCCTTAGTATTTCAATAATTCAAAGTTTTGTAAACTGTTAATTTATAATTATGACCAT